TTGTGAGACAAAAAATCACAATTACTTTTTGTAGTATTTTATTTAGTAACAGAGATAATCATCCATAGAAATGTGACATGAAAATTCTTTACAGGTTCCATAAGATTCACCCTATTAAATACATTTAATATGCAAAATATCTATATATTTAATAATACAGTTTTGAACCCACTCCAAAGATTTTTTTATTCATGATTTATTTATAATTTTGTATGACACATATGTGACCCTGGAGCACAAAAGCAGTGTTAAGTCGCTGGGGTATATTTGTAGCAATAGCCAACAATACATTGTATGGGTCAAAATTATACATTTTTCTTTTATGCCAAAAATCATTAGGATATTAAGTAAAGATCATGTTCCATGAAGATATTTTGTAAATTTCCTATCGTAAATATATAAAAACTTAATTTTTGATTAGTAATATGCATTGCTAAGAACTTTATTTGGAAACTTTAAAGGCAATTTTCTCAATATTTAGATTTTTTTTGCACCCTCAGATTCCAGATTTTCAAATAGTTGTATCTCGGCCAAATATTGTGCTATCCTAACAAACCATACATAAATGGAAATATTATTTATTCAGCATTCAGATGATGTATAAATCTCAATTTCAAAAAATTTACCCTTATGACTGGTTTTGTGGTCCAGGGTCACATTTGAGTTTTTAATGAGATTTCATGACATTTCAATCTTCTCTGTGCTCTCAATCAGGACCTGGCGTTTAAAAACGAGACCGGTCTGAGTGGAAACCCTCTGAAAATCACATGGCTGGAAGGACAACCGGCCCAAGCATCACATATCGACTCCTTCACCTCACAACAGGTACAGCAAACAATAAAACAGCACGAAATCACAGGAAAATAATGTGTTTTATATTTGCATTGTGACAGTCATTAAGCACACTTCACCCAAAATCTCATTATTGTAATGTGTTTAAATCGTTTACTTTTTGGTCTCATTTATCTCAATAATGATCTTCATCACATTAAAAAATTTGATAATTTTTCTTTATGCAAAATTACATTTCTTTTGATTTCGGGCTTAAATACATGGACGCAAACAAATCTAAACAAATCTGAAAAAGTCAGAATAGTCAAACATAAAATTCTGAGAACAAAAAGTCACATTTACATTTATTTTATTCCATGGCAGAAACAAACTTGACTTTATTTCTCACAATTCAAAAAAGTCAAGCTTGTTTCAAAATGATTGTAATTTTAAACCCACATAAAATGTATGTATTTACACTTTTTATTTATTTACAAGTTTTTTTATTACCAGTGTTTTATGATGCTTAGAAGGTGGAAAACAACAACAACAAAATAAATAAATAAAATGAAAAACAGGACAAACCGGAGATAATGAAGAAAATTAAAACAGAAAATTTGAATGATTTAATGAAAATATTAATAAAAAAACTGAATTAAATGATCAACAAATACATGAAAATAAAGCATATTTTTATGTATTTTTAATATGTATGTTTGTGTATGTTATACATTTTGTTTATATTTTAAATGTCTAGATTAGGGTGAATTATATTTATTGCATATTGTTTTTGTGAGTGTATTGTGAGAGTCTGATGCACAGTAGAAAATGTTTTATATGTTAATACCTCACAAATCTGACATTTCTTCTCAGAATTGTGAGAAAAAAGTCCAAATTGTGAGACAAAAAATCACAATTACTTTTTGTAGTATTTGATTTAGTAACAGAGATAATCATCCATAGAAATGTGACATGAAAATTCTTTACAGGTTCCATAAGATTCACCCTATTAAATACATTTAATATGCAAAATATCTATATATTTAATAATACAGTTTTGAACCCACTCCAAAGATTTTTTTATTCATGATTTATTTATAATTTTGTATGACACATATGTGACCCTGGAGCACAAAAGCAGTGTTAAGTCGCTGGGGTATATTTGTAGCAATAGCCAACAATACATTGTATTGGTCAAAATTATACATTTTTCTTTTATGCCAAAAATCATTAGGATATTAAGTAAAGATCATGTTCCATGAAGATATTTTGTAAATTTCCTATTGTAAATATATCAAAACTTAATTTTTGATTAGTAATATGCATTGCTAAGAACTTCATTTGAACAACTTTAAAGATGATTTTCTCAATATTTTGATTTTTTTGCACCCTCAGATTCCAGAATTTC